GTGGCCGCTCCCGGCCACCACAGCCTCGACCCGCTGGGCTCCAGCGATCCTTCCACTTCAGCCTTCCGAGTAGCCAGAACTACAGGCATGCACTACCACACCCGGCTAATTTTTTTTCGATTTATTAGAGATGAGGTCTCGCCAAGTTGCCCGGGCGGATCTCGACCCCACGGGCTCAGGCCATCCACTCACCTCGGCCTCCCAAAGTGCTGGGATTACAGGCTGAGCCACCGAGCCCGACCCTAGCTTCTCTTTTAAAATTATTCTTCAGCCGGGCTCGGTGGCTCAAACTGTAATCCCGCGCCTTTGGGAGGCTGAGGTGAGTGGATTGCCTGAGCCCGCGGGTTCGAGACCCGCCTGGGCAGCGAGATCTCATCTCTACAATAAATCAAAAAATCAGCCGGGCGTGGTAGCGCATGCCTGTAATTCCGGCTACTTGGAAGGCTGAGGCGGAAGGATCGCCAGAGCCCAGCAGGTCGAGGCTGCGGTGGCCGGGAGCGGCCACTGCACTCCAGTCTGGGCAACAGAGTGAGATTCCAACTCAAAAAAAATAAATAAATAAAAATAAAAATAAAATGATTCTTACTGAGACCTTGGAGCAGAGACCACACCACAGGAGGTGTGGCCCCACTCTCGTCATCTCTCGGGGACAGTAGCTGACAGTTTACAGTGAGGGTCTGTTTCGTCCTTGTGGTCACTGGGGGGTTGGGGCTGCCTCAGTGGAGGCCCCGAGCTCAGACAGGGGAAGGGATGTGCGAGGTCCCCAAGCTACTACTTCAGGCCCGTCACGTGCAGCCCGCACACGACGTGGGTCAGGCGAGAAGGACTGTTTCCATTTCACAAATGAGAGTAAAACTGAGCCTAGGCAGGGGAGGCTTGGCGGGGTCACTCAAGGGTGGCGTGGGGGTGTGGGGGCTCTTAACTCCCACATCCAGCCGGCGGGTGGGCTGCGGGGACGTGCACGTGTCTGGACCTGGAGCCTCAGGCCCCTCGTCCTCCCTTCTGTGTCTCTGCAGGGCCTGGTGGACCTCCTGCTGCTGGGCGGGGTAGCAGCAGCCACGACCGTGGCCTGGCACCGAGTGAGCCCGCCGGCTGCCCGCCTGCTCTACCCCTACCTGGCCTGGCTGGCCTTTGCAGCCACGCTCAACTACTGTGTATGGCGTGACAACCGCGGCTGGCGTGGGAGCCGGCGGCTCCCGGAGTGAGTGGCCAGCCCCCTGAGGACCACAGCTGCCACCAGGAGGTGCCATCCACGGTGGTGGCCATCACGCTTTCATGGCCCCTGGGCTTGCTGGTCTGTCCGCGTCTCGGCTCAGGGGGCCAGCAGCAGCTTCAGAGGTGGTCATGGCTGAGCTCAGGCGAAGAACCGCTCTGCACTTTCTGCAATGCTCAGAGCATGCTCTCGGGATGTGGAGTTTTATAAACCAAATAAAGTTTTTAGTCTCCTGCACCATGGCCTTTTGTTGGGACCCCTGGCCATGTGGGCCGGGCCGTGCAGGGGCTTATTCTGCTGCTGGGTCTGTCTGGACTCAGCCGGGGCTTCCCCACTCACTAGGACGTTCCCGAGACTCTGCAGAAGGTGAGGAGGTCAGCCTAGCGGGGAGCAGCCCCAGGTCTGACCCTAGAACCCACACTGGCACACCGGGCTGGGCTGAGCGAGGGGGTCCTGCCCACTTCCCATGGCTGTAGGACAACCCAGTCCAGGCTGCTGAATGGCTGGGCCCACAACCAGCATCCAGCACCTGGCTCTGCCCTGCCCCAAGCAGAACCCTTACCTGGTTTTACCCAGGACAGAGCTGGGCGGCGCCTGAACAGGTCGCTCCTCTGTCCTGTCACGGGTCACTACACCTGTATGGCGGCTGGTGGGACCAAGGCTGCAGCTTCCTCCCCTTGGCCAGGCCCAACCTGCTGGGCTTATCTTTGGTTTTGTTTCTGGTGGTTGATAGAAGTTCATGGAGATCTTTCTTCCCACCGCACATTCAGAGGTGACTTCACTTACAGAGGATGGATGAAGACAGGTGACTGCATTCTTCTGAGAGATGGGGTGGCTCTGTCCCAGGCTGCCACGAAGCCATACCTGACACCAGCCTCTAGGAGAATTTGATGTCCAACATAGGCTCTGCAGGGTTCCAGCAGCTTCTGGGCCATGGGCCCTCAGCTGACCCTCTGGCCAGCCCACATTCTTCATGAGCACAGAAGAGTACACTGGGGAACCCTTGGTATATCCTTTTGTTTGTTTGTTTGTTTTGAGTGGGAGTCTCACTCTGTCGCTCAGACTGGAGTGCAGTGGCCGCTCCTGGCCACCGCAGCCTCGACCTGCTGGGCTCTGGCGATCCTTCCACTTCAGCCTTCCGAGTAGCAGGAATTACAGGCACGTGCTACCACGCCCAGCTAATTTTTTGATTTTATTGTAGAGGTGAGGTCTCACCTGCCCAGGCGGGTCTCGAACCCGCGGGCTCAGGCAATCCACTCACCTCAGCCTCCCAAAGGCGTGGGATTACAGGTTGAGCCACCGAGCCCGGCAATGTTTTTTTTTTGTTTTTGAGTCAGAGTTTCACTCTGTCGCCCAGAGCGGGGCCACCGCAGCCTCGACCTGCTGGGCTCCGGCGATCCTTCCGCCTCAGTCTTCCAAGTATCTGGAACTACAGGCACGTGCTACCACGCCCGGCTAATTTTTTATTTATTGTAGAGATGAGGTCTTGACAAGTTGCCCAGGCGGGTCTTGAACCCGCGGGCTCAGGCAATCCACTCACCTCAGCTTCCCAAAGTGCTGGGATTACAGGCTGAGCCACCGAGCCCGGCTTATCCTTTTTATTAATGTCTTTTTTTTTTTTGAGTCAGGGTCTCATTGCCACCCAGGCTGGAGTGCAGTGTTATGACCATGGCTCACCATAGCCCCAACCTCCTGAGCTCAAGTGACCCTGCTGCTTCAGCTTCCTGAGTAGCTGGGATAGTGCATGCCAGCTAATTTGTTGATATATATATATATTTTTTTGTAGAGACAAGGTCTTACTATGTTGCCCAGGCTGGTCTCAAACTCCTCGCCTTAAGCAACACTCCTACCTCTGCCTCCCAAAGTGCAGGGATTACAGGTGTGAGCCCCTGCAGCCAGCCTTTTTATTAATGTATTTCTAAAGTTCTCCAAGATGGTCAGTTTAATTCCTCCAGAGCTTTGTGCAGACACTTGTTGGAGCACTGGAGGGTGAGGACCCTGTTAGCAATTTGCCATCATCATCCATTAGGGGTTCTGGGCTTCTGGCAGTTTCTATGTTGGCTTAATAGGGAAATCCACACCTCACTGGTTAAGTCCTTCTGGTCTGCACTCTTGCCTGGAGCTACTTCACAAGGTTGAGGTCTGGACCCCAAGCACCAACTTCCCCCTATAAGTCAACCAACCACTCAGGACACAATCCCAGGTCTTACACACAATTCGGGAAGGCTTGGCTGGGTGGTCATCAGCACAGAGGCAACAGTGACTTCAACTTTGTGGCAGGCCACTCTGGACCTCTGTTGTGCTGAGACTCAACGATGCTACTGCCTGCTGCATGACAGCTGCAATCTCGGGTGCATTTTGTGGCCACAGAAAATCACCAAGGATGCTTTCCAAGTTTCTAAATTTTACTGTCAGCATCTCAAGCTTTACCTGCTGAATTTCTCCTGTGTGGTGCCCTGGAGAACTTTGATACAATCAATATTACTCTGGGGACTCTTTTCGGTCAATTTCAAATGTCCATCACTGGCACATTCTAGCTCTTGAAGCATCCTTTGACTTTTTTGAGTCAGTCTCACTCTGTTGTCCAGGCTGGAGGGCAGTGGCATGATCGAGGGTCACTGTGGTCATGACTTCCTGGGCTCAAGCAATCCTCTCACCTCAGTCTTCCAAAGTGCTGGAATTACAGGCATGAGCCACCGCACTGCCTTAAGTAATCTTAAAATAGAGTGACTTGGGTATAAATGAGTATGAGGAGAGATGGGGTAAGCATCATCTCCAGGGCAACTACCTCGGCTTTTAGAGGTGACTGACTGGAATTCCGGTGCATGGAGTCCCTAGTTGATAGCCTTCAGGGGAGGGTGTCTCTCTGCCCTGACCAGAGGTGCAAGGACACCTAGGGATGCAGAACCCCACGTTATAATCAGGGAAAGCCTGGGCCATGTGGTCCTGATTCCAGGGGCTGTCCCTGCCTGCTCCTGGGAATCGGGTTTTAAGTGAACGGGAAGAAACAAGAGTAACACCTGTTAGGCTCTGGACACAGCCAGCGGGGACATCTGTCCGGAGTGTTTCCCTTACCAGCAAGGCACTCTGCTTCCACGGTATAATCTCCGGGGCCACCAGGTGGTGCCACTGCCACCTGCCCTGCAGCAGCCCGCAGAACACCCCAGGAGCCAGGGTTAGGTTTTCACAGCCCCTTGCCAGGACAAGGCAAGTGTGGGGAGAACGCCTTTCCAGGGTTTGGGGCTCGCATGATGACCGAGGGTCCTGGGCACTCACAGCGGGGCTGACACAGGCTTCAGCCTTGATGGTGCCCCCCCATCAAAACAGAACAAGTGCGGGAAGTCAAACTTGAGGTGGGGATTGGGAGGCTGAAAGGCCATCCTATTCCTCCTCTGCTTCTCAAGGTGACTTCTTGGTATTTTTTTTTTTTTTTGTGGCAACAGCAGGGGGGATATACCAGGCTGAGCCTGCAGCTCCAGGGCCCCAAGAGAAAGGAAGGCAGAAATGAAAGAAGGTGGCATTTATTGCAACACAAAGTGAGAACTGAGGCAGGACAGGATGCCTGCAGATCCTGGGAGCCCAGAGGGTGGCTCCCGTCAGGAAGGGCGAGGCTGTCCTTAACAGAGGGTGGCAGACCTGCCCAGACAGACACTGAGGGGAACCAGCATTGTGTGTATCTTTGTCACAAGAAGGATCACTCTTAGCTTTAAACAGTAATCATCCCCATGCCCAGCCCCACCTTCCTGCACACCAGAAGGTTCTGGAAGCATCTCACACCTGCCTGGGGAGCCAGACCAAGTACAACCTGTGAGCCGGGCCTAAGTGCACTGTGGCTACAAAACACTGACAGCTGTCTCCAAATTTCAGAAACAGAACTAGGAAAGAATTAGAATTGTATGTTTCTCCCATAAAAAAAAAAATAACAAAAAGCCAACATTGTGACTATAGACCCTGAAGATGGCACCTGACTTAACCTAAACTTCCTCAGAATCTTCTTCTATCACCTATTGCCTGGCGCTCTGCCACCCACACTTGGCCCTGAGTCCCCCTCACCAGAGGGTCCCAGACAAGAGTGGGACACCATGGAGTGCCCAGTGAGCAGGGAGGTCACTGGGACGATGGGGGCCCTGACAGACCGCTTCCCTTGGTGAGAGTAGGTCTGTGACCCTCAACAACGGTATCAAGACGGTTTATGTGCCCAGCGGGAGGTTTGCTGGTGAAAGTTCTGGTCCAGCTGGGGATGGGTGATAAGGTGGGCTTGGTGGACGAGTTCGCCAGGCTGTTCCGGGACACCTGTCACACAGAGCCTTGTGGGTGCAGTGTGGGGCCCTGTACCTGTTCCAGGGGCATTCCAATGCATGAGAGCAGAGACTCTGGAACAGAAGCCTGCTTGGCCTTATTTGATGCAGGGTTCCCAAATGCTTCCCTGTAGAACCCTGTTCCTGAGGAACACCTCCCTGCGCCCAAGACCCTCTCTCTCCCCAACACGCTCTGGGGCAGACGGCCTGGGAACTCTTGATACCAGGAGTAAAGCCCTTGTCTGAGTTGGAGACTCATCAATGCCTAGATGGTGGTGGGGGTGTGGGCAGGGCCTTGGGGTGGTACCCTGCCTTAGAGACGCTGTCACTGTCCTGCTCTGACCCACAGGGGGAAGACCCTGTGCTCCCAGGGTGGGAGGCCTGGACAATGGCTTAGAAAGATAGAGGCCTGGGGCGGACGCTGACTTGAGGAAGGGAGGGGAGGTCCTGGGGCCTTTGCAGAAGCAGCTCGTAAGACAGAGGTTAGAACCCTTCCCTAAGCACAGGGTGCAGGGACAGCGAGTGCCTAGGCGAGGCAGGTGACATGGCAGTTGCTGGGCTGGTCCAGAAATAAGGTGCTGAAGACATCATTGAAGAAGGTGGGGTGGTACCGGCAGGCTCGCTCACAGTCAGGGTTGAAGTTCACTTCCAGGATCTGCGGCTGCATCACCCGCTTCCCTGATGGCAGAGAGCAGAGTGGGTATAAGGCTCATCTGCACCTCCCTCCCAGGGGATGGTCTGGGGACCCCGAGAAGGCTGGGAGGGTGTGGACCTGGGCTCCAGCCCCCACAGCAGGCAGGCAGGGCAGGGCCTAGAACTCGGGTTTCCTGGCTTTTTGGGTGGCCTGGCCAGATGTCTGTCTCTCAAGGAGAGGCTGCAGTTGCCTCCTGCTGTAGGGTGAGAGTGCATCCTTCTGGCTCAGATGTTCAGTTTAGTCAAAAAGAAGCAGAGATGCAGGGGTGGGGTAGGATGGGGTGGAGGGGTTCTGACACTGAGGTCTGGCTAGGGCAGTGTGGGGGATGGGGTGCCTTGTACACGGGTTTCTGTCCTGTGAACTCTCTCCTACGGCACCCCACCCTGCTCTCCTGGGGCGTGGCCAGCTAGGCAGGGCTGTCAGCTCGGTTCAGAGCATGGGGAAGTTCCTCTCACCATCTGAATGGTCGTTCCACTTCAGCATGAGGTCGACGGCATACATGGCCCGGGATGAGGGGTAGTCGCAGAGGCCCAGGGGCGGTGGCTTGGCACAGGCCAACTGGAACAGCTCCGTAAAGGCCTGGAAGATCTCAGCCTGGGGATGGGGGTGGCTGTCACACAGCCTGCTTGGCCCCAGTATTGGGACTAGCTACCCAGGGCAGTCTCTTGACACAGGGTTTGCTGCCCCTGCTAGAACCTGGTTCCCACGTGACCTGAGTCACCCCTCCCACACCTTTGTGTTTCTAGACCTGGCTGTGGTCACTTCTGCCTGACACTTGCCCCTCACCTGGATTCACTTTCTGCAAATCTGCCTGAACCCTGCGCCTTGTCCCTGCGGTACCCGCTGCAGTGAAGAGCTCAGAGCAGCACTCGAGAGGCTGCTATAGGATGTGAAGGCCCAGCCTGTCTCCAAGGGCCGGGATGCTGGGGGCACACAGAGCCCACTACCATCTGGCTGTGCTAGGAGTGCCCTAAAAGCCCCTCCTGGTGATCTCTCCCTCTGAGGAGCCCCCACAAGGCCAGAATGGGAGGGATGGGAGCCCATGCCATCTCCCTCACCAGCGTCAGTGGAAGGAGGACCACCCAGAGGAGGCAAAGACCCTATCCAGGCTATATCAGCCGAGAGGGAAGGGGCAGCTCCTACAGGGCCCCCAGCCTGGGATCTGACACCCCCTCCCTGGAATGCACAGGACTCACCTGGACGCCAACCCAGGGAAACTCTGGGTATTGCTTCTCAAATTCAGGGATGAATTCATTATAATGAACCTGCAACAGACACAGAGCCTGTCACACTCTGCTCAGGCCTCTTCTGGGTAGGGAAGGGGAGGCCTGCCGCTGCCTTGACCAGGAACCTCTGACATTCGCTGGGGGTTACAGGAGAGAACACCTGGCCCCAGTCCTTTAGGGCACAAATTAGAGGCAGGAGACTGGGTTTGGGCTGTAGATCTTACCGTGTGACTTTGGACTAATGGATTAACTTCTCTGAGCCTCAGTGTCCTCTATGAAATGGGAGAATGCACCCTCCCCAGAAAACTGACTTTGCAGGGCTGCTGTGAGGCTCAAGTGAGATGCTTGAGAGGCTGTAAGGCCTAGGTCAGTGCTCATCCTCACAGTGCAAAGGAGATGAGTATGGCCCCCAGTTGGCAGGGCCAGCCTGTGCCCCACTGAGCACCAGTTGTCTTTTCAGGCTCAAGGTCTTACCCAAAACATACACAAGTAGGGTGGCAGTTGGCTCAGGCTTCTTCCAGAGGACAAGCCAAAACAGGCCCCCTATGAAAACCCAATGTTTATGGTCTGCTGGACACGTGTCCTCATGCATAGGGTTCAGAGGACATTAACTCTCAGATGACCCCTGCACACAAGAGGGGAAGGTTCTTCTGGAGTCTTAGGGGATTTCAACACAATCGAAAGGAGGAACAAGAAGCTACAGGACTGCCAGACACAGGCAGCAGGGTCCTTTCCACGCGTCCTCCTAGAGGACTCCTCAGACACGGGCTTAGCTAGGTGTCCCACGAGTGAAGAGCCAGGAACAGCAGCCGTGCTTCCAACAATAGAGCACACACGTTCAGCAAGTCAGGACAGTGGCAGGGGTATGTGCTCAATAAGAGGATACTTCCATGAAAACCTCAACAGGCGGAACAGTATTTGAATTGCTAGGGACATGCTCATGCTGAAAAGAATTGAGAGAAGCCTGGGAGTGAACATTACACGCTCAGGAGAGGGGGAAGGTCGGGCAGGGTGCCATGGCACCCGCAAGCCTGGCGTTAGGCAGTGTGGACAGGTGTGTGCTTGATGCTCTGTTTGCGGGTCTGAGAGGACTTTCTGACAATGATCTATTCTCCTTTCCGGGTTCCGTACCAAGCTGACTTCTCACTTCAGTGCAGGCTGTGCCTACCTATTCCCAGTGACTTGGCCAGCTCTGGTTTCTCATCCTCACCTTGGAAGGGCTTTGCCCTGATGCCCCAGGTGCCCAGAAGGTGCGGCCGCCACTCACTGAGGGCCCCTGCATGTGGCACTGCTCAGTAACAGGGCCAGGGAAGACAGGAGGTCCCCAACCCAGGCAGGATCACAGGCCAGCAGGCAGCAAAACCAGGTGTGCACAGGGCCAGACCTCACACAGCCTGCATCGGTCCTGTCTCCAGAGGGGACCAGGCATTTCTGGGGGCCACAAATTCCAACCCTCCCTGGTGCTCTTCACGCAGTCTGTTTTTCCTGCTGAGGCAGCCATGGGGGAATGCCTTCCCATCCCCCATTATCTCAAACAGCTCAAGTGCTCCTCGGTGCTACAGGAAGGACTACCTGGGACAATACAGTTCCTGAACCTGGCTCATCATGGCTGCTTTAAACACGAAAGCGAGAACTTAGAAGGCAGCTCCTTGGAACTGGCCCATGCACCCAGCCTCCCCAGGAGGCAGGCATGATGGCGGGTGGGGTTGGGTCTGCACTGATCTCCATGTGAACCCCCACCTGGGTCCTGACAGGCCCTACCTGCTTAAGTACCACATCCGGGTCATAGTTCATGACTGTGAAATGCTTCTCGTAGTCATCCAGGTCGTTGAGTGCAAAGGGCCTGGAAGATAAGCAGACACATGCATGGATTCTGGAGCCAGAGCTGGCCTCTTCCCTGTGTGGGAGGCATCACTGACTGAACCTTCCTGGCTGGGGGGCTCGGGGCAGAACTGCTTGCTGTCCTGGCTGGGCGCCAGTTCCCTCATCTGTGCAGTGGGGCAGTCGCAGGCCCCGCTGAGTTGGGATCAAGGCGAGTGATGTGCTGTGAAGTCTCTGTAGGTTCATAAAATATCATCCTGATTCTCACATGTTGGTGCCCATTTTATGAAGAACGTTCACATCTGCTACTGTGGATGACTTGGAAACTCTGAAGTAGGCAGGTCAAGTCACTGCCATTTGCCACTGAGGACACAGGCTCTGAGTGGCCACCTGCCATGTGAGTGATGAGGGAAAGTTCCAACAAGGCTTTCTGATCCCAAGTCAGGTGGGGCCCAATACCCACCCCTTCCCCCACCTGGTCACCAGCTCCCGGACCCAGGACCCAGTTAGTCCCCACTTACCGGTTAGAAAACCGCAGCCAGAACACATCATACACAAACAACCTCAGGGGCTTCACTGACCGCAGCAGCACGATGTAGCGGACGTCAAACTTGACCTTCCCCACGTCTTCTCGAAGGAACAGGACTGGACTTTCAATGTACTTGGACACAACCTGAAGGAGAAGGATGTGGGCTCACTGGTGGTCCTTATCCCGTGCCAGGACAGAGTCCTTTGGGGCTCCCACAGCCCACCAGAGCACACAGAACCACGAGGGGTCTCCTCTCCTGTGTCCTCAGAGGGGCTCTGCACCCAGCGCCAGTAAGACACAGCCGCAGCTGCCCTCCACTCCTCCTGCCCTTTCAATCCCTGCCTAGGTTGCAGCACATTCTATAAATTCATCTCTACTGTAATTGAAGAAAAAAATCCCACTGGTTTTCAGGTTTTGAACATGGAGTACAAATTCTCACCCATAACTCCACCCACCCCACTCCACTGCCCAGTCCCCATGACTGTCCCTGGAGTGCATTTCCTTCCGGCCTCTGCCCATGTACACGTCTCCGGCTGCAGCCATGGCACAGGTGCTCCTGTGCCCCGCAATCCTCCCTGTGGATGTCCCATCACTACGGGATCTTTGCAGCCCCAAGAAGCTCCCTGTTCAAACTTGGATACCTGCTCCTGTCAGGCAGTCCTACCAGTGTGTTGGGAACTCAGGTCAGCTGTCCATGGGCCGGTTCTGACTGAGGGTCTCCTCCACTCACCTCAAGTGTCATGACCCCCTCCTGATGGCAGTGGCACAGTGGAAGCAGTGAGGTGGGGGCTTCAGAGACTAGGCTCTAGTCCCAGTGCTGACTCCCTACCTCTCGGTGGCCAGTCCAGACTCTGAGCACCAGGCATGTGGGGTATGGGGCCCACCTTGGGGGTGCTCTCTCGGTGCCGGATGATGCTGTGGAGGCTCTTGGTGATGTGGGTGTCCAGGCTGCGTGCCAGGTTCCAGGGCTTGCAGATCCAGTGGTTGTCCTCACCCCTGGGGGAGCAGAAGGGCCAGCTGGGTGGTGTCTGGGGTCTGCTCTCCCCGGCAGGGCCTCCCCAGAACCCAGCAGCAGAGCCGGCGACTGAGGTCTCCTGGGAGCTGAGAGGTTGGGCTCGTTTGCTGGAGCAGAGGGAGCAGCAGCCTGGAGGAAGCGGCAGCCCTGGCAGAGGCCCTGGGAGACAACTGCAGTCCATGGTGCTCAGTGCCTACACCTCCTAGCACCAGTTTACGTAGTAGGTATTCAGCTGATGGGGTGGGGTTGTGACTGCTCTGTGTCGGGGGGCTCACCGCCTTTCCCGGTGCTGGAAGTAGCTGACAAACTGGGGCAGCTCAGTGCGCAGGTTGAAGGTTCGGGGCAGCCAGGGCGGGCCCTCAGGGCCTCCTGCCCGACGTGCGATGGACGCCAGGCAGTCCTTCACAGTCAGCAGGTTCTCGCAGGGGAACTGGTTCAACAGCACTCCTGGCCTCTCCTGGCTGAGCCTCCTGGGGATGGGAGGCAGATGTGGCGAGCTCAAGGGGAGGCTGGGACTCCGGGAAGGTGGCAGTGGCCTGTGGGCTGGAGGCACCCTCACCTGTAGTCTTTGAAGTGTGAGAAGTTGAAGAGGATGTCAGCATCCGCCTCGCTCTGGGTGAAGGTGAAGCGTGGGTGTGTGAGGTTGCTGAGTACCTGCTGCACGTCCGTGAAGACCCTGCAGGAAAAGGCCCAAGCCGAGCTCAGACACCGGCCCTGGCTCAGCGACTCCCCACGCTGGCCTGAACTTCATCAGACCGCAAGCAAATCCAGGGCTTGAGTCTTGACAGACAGCCTGGCCCCAGCTCCAGGCCTCAGAGCCCTCTGCTTATCTGCCGAGGGATAGGGCAACTTGTACTCTTGCAACCCTGGGCTCCCCAACTATAGGATGGGACCATATGGCCCACCCACATTTATCATGAGGATTAAACAGGATAATTTAGGTGTCTAATAAATGTTGGTTCTTTCCTCCCTCGCGGAAAAAAGGAAGGATGGAGCTGACACTCCCAGTCTCAAATGGATGTGCCAAGTGCCTCAATGAGGCCTCTGCCCCAGGGAAAGTGGGGGGACACGGGGCAGGGGGTCACTGCCATGCCCGAGTCTCAGCAAGAGCCCGAGCTGCCAGGCTGGGCTGCTGACCTCAAACAAGGGGAGAAGGGCCCAGCAGAGTCCAGCAGGAGATTCCCATGACCTGGCAGAAAGCGAAAGAGTGGAGCACGTTGCCCACTTATGGCTGGACCAGGTTTGGGCAGCCAAAGAGGAGGGTTCTAGGCGTCTTGGGAGGGGCTCCCTTGAAGGCAGAGGCCAATCTCTGCCTCTGCTCCCTCACCTCTAAATGGGGCCATGTTTCCGCTAGAGATCTAGCCTGGACCTGCCGGCCTGACCTTCGGTAACTCACACCCTACACCTGTAGACTCCAGGGGCCCCTCCCGACAGCCCAGTGCCTTTTCTAGGTGCCTGGCTCATTCACGGCCAACATAGGCTCCCCGCTTTTGGGCAGGGCTGGCATGCACAGGCCTAGCTGTTTCCAGGACCAAATAAGCACAGATTATCCGGATGAGTGGAGCAGCCCAGCACAGTAGAGTCGGGACGTGAACACTCTGCCTGAAGAACAGGGTGGGGACCAGTGGCAGGCTGATGCTTCTGCCAGTGGGCCCCTCACTCATCGCCAGCATTCTCACGGTCTACTCCTATTCTGGGAATTTAAGATCCGCTTCCTTCACGAAGTCCTGCTCGCTCCCACTTTCTGTGGCATTTTCTCTAGGATCCCAAGAACTTGATTACCTATATTTCCGTCACCACCACGCCCAACTGCAAGTCCCCAGCTAACTAGAGATGCCCTTGTGCGCCAGGCACTGTTCCAAGTTGTGGGAACTGTGGTGAGTGGGGAGACAGTAACTGAGGATGAGCCCCAGCACGAGCAGAGAGGGGGCTGCGTACTTGAAGACGTGGTTCTGGGGGTATACCACAGGGCTGATGGCAAGTGGCAGCTTCTCCTTGTTTTCCTCCAAAATGGCCTAGAAGGAAACACACCGGAGGCAGAAACAGACCTTAATGAAGGGAGCAAATAAACACGTCTGTCTGTTTGGCACGTCAGGGTTCCACGATCTCACGGTGCATGGCTGCCCTCAGGTGAGCCACTCACAGCTGCTGCTGACCCAGCATCCAGATGGTTCTCACCACCCCCCACCCTGGGATTCTGGAGCTCATAGCCTCTCAGGTGCTGAACAGCCCTAGTCTGGTGTCAAAGGAACAAGGTAAGCATTGTTTTAAATCTTCTCAATGTTAACCCCCCAAGTCACAGGTGGCCGAGAAGACGCCAAACCTCTCCTGGGAGGGGCTTGTTTGGTCCTAGAGGAACCCAAAGCTGTTTGGAGCTTAAGCAGTGTGATGGTCTAAAAATGTCCACAAACCCTTGCTACTCCCTTCCTAAGGCAGAACCTAATCCATCTCCCAAGTGTGGGCTGGACTTAGCGAGCTGCTTCTAACGAACAGAAAAAAGCAGACAACATTGCCTTTGAGACTAGGTCATGAGGTCCCATGGCTTCCTCCTTGCTTATTCCTGGATCCTTTAAGAGAAGCAGCTCTAAGAGGAGCAGCTACCATGTCCCAAGGACACTCAAGCAACCCTATGGAGAGACCCATATGGTGAGGGTCCAAGGCTTTCCATCAACCAACCGCCAGCAACAACTTGCCAGGCATGTGCGTGTGCCACATGCAAACAGCTCTACAGCCCTATGGAGTCTCAGGTAACACAGCCCCCACAGGCAGCCAGTGTACCTTGTGAGACAGCCCAAGCCAGAAATACCCAGCCAAGTCACTCCTGAACTTGTGTAGGATAATACATGTTTGCTGTTTTAAGTTATGCTTCGGAGTTATTTGTTACCCAGCCATAGCTAACCGATAAAGGCAACCCCAATGCCCAGAGTATAGGCCTGATACTAAATGGGAAAAAAACAAGGCTGTTTCAGACAAGGAATGTTTGGCCTTGTCTTCTCCTCTTCCAAGTCAGCACAGAGCTTCCCAAGGAGAAATACTAACTTTAATTCATGTTCCACCAACAACCAACCTCAAGACCAGGAAGTGTTTATCCTTCCTCTTGCATCCACAAAGGCATTCACTTGCTTGTTCAGGCAAATGTATATTAAATACCTGTCAGGTACAGGTGGTTCGAGAGACTGTTAAACATACCTCTGCACCAAGAAGGGTGGCTTCCTTGTTTTCAGCAGTTAGTTCAATCACACTGACTCAGACTGAAAGTGACAGTTGACCCCTCAATTGGCATCACGCATACAAACACAATGCTACTGGGTGCTCCCCAGGCTACATCAGTTAACGTGGTTAATCCTTCCTTCACAATCTCTTGAGGTACTTAGTGAACACTCGCTGTGCGAACACGGCAACTTCTACCAGGGTGGTGCAAGCCTGCAGCCTTGGCCACAAGTTATCAGGTCCCCTTGGTTCTGACTCCAGCTCTCCCACCAGCTGTGTGACTTCTGGCAAGTGACTTAACCTCTCTGTGCCTCAGTTTCCTCTTCCTCAGTAAAATGAAGATAAAAATAGAACTGTGAAGGTGTTCATTTATCTTCATTTTACTGAGGAAGAGGAAATAGAGCACGCCCACAAACCGCTAAGCAGGTTCCCTTATTGGCTGATTCCAGCTGCAGAGAAGCTGTGGCAGGGATCAGAGGGCAGTGGAAGGAGGAAAGAGGTTCTGGCAGTGGCTGTCTGCCTTTAGATCCCACTTCCTCCCCCTACCCCAGGGCTTTGCTAACCCTGGCCCCTTAGCCCGCAGCTCTCTTCTACTGGGCCCTGGGGGACCCTGACAGAGAGGCTACCCAGGGACCAAAAGCACCTTTGAAATCAACAACAGTGACGACAATGGCAATTACTCGAGGGCCTGCTGCATGTCAGGAAATGTGTAGTGTTTGAACACAGGGTCTTCCCATCCTCCACTGAGGTGAGGAAAGTGGGCCGAGCAGGGTCCAAAGCCAAGTCCATGGCACAGCCTCACCTTCCCTCCCGAGAGGAGCAGCACTGACTGCCAGCAACTCCAGCTCTACTTGATCCTCTGTGACACAGTCTCATACCAGGTACCCCAGGATTTGGGTTCTGGACTGGATTCCAAGCTGTGTGGCTGCAGGCAGCCTGTGTTCACTCTCTGGGCCCTTGTCACTCAGATGCTCCCAAAACTCCTCTCCACCTCCCACAGTAACCAGCCCAGGGCTTGGCACCAGCTGGTGTTCGGCAACATTTGGTGTCTGGATGAAGAACATTTTGGAAGCCACCAAACAGGCCCAGGGTGGAGGCAGAAGGAGTCACACCTGGTAGTGCTCTGTGGGAGGCTCGGGCGTGGAGGAGCTGAGGTCCAACATGTCAGCAGGGGCCCAGGGTAGCAGCATGCACTTCCGGATCAGAGGATCTGCCTCTCCGTAGGCAAAGTCCCGGGTCACCTCCTCTGCACCAAGACACGTGTGTCCATCAGAGGGGGAGATGGCGAGGAACTGGGCCCAAGGGCCGTCTGACAGGGCAGGTGGACGTTAGCCTTACCACCCGTGTCCAGGTCCCTCAGGGGCCACAGCAGCGTGTAGGCCACTTGCTGGGGCATGTAGAAAAAGGGTGCTGTGGCAAAGCTGGGCATGTCTGCATGCTGGATTCGCGAGCCAAATTCATCCATGATGTACCACACCGGAACCTTTTCCTCGGCCGTCTGTGGGCAGAGCACACATGGCAACCCTTGTCCATTTGCCTAACCACCTGAACTCCTACCCCCAAACATCAACCACTATTCATCCATGACCATCTCTCTGAGCTTGGAGGGTCTCTCGCTTGTACCCTCAGGTTCTTCTGGACAGCAGCCCTATCCCTGTAGACGAGAACACGGGCCTGTGTAATGCAGTGGTAACTCAAGTGGTAGAAGAGCACTTGGAAGGAAAACACTCAGCCCAGACACCATATGGGTATGCCTGAGTTTGTGTGTCTGGGGGGTGGAGGAGACTGAGAAGCACCCTACAAGAGGCGGCGTCTAAGCTGAGACAATGAGAAACAATATGTCTCTTCCCAAACTGAGTGGTGAGGGGCGAGAGTGTGGAGAGGGGTCTGGAGGGACCAGTGGGGGTGGCTGAGGGCCTGCTGAAGAGGCTCAGCACTTTTTCCGAGGGTGGCTAGGAACTGCTGAGGGCTTTTGAGAGAGTGACAGAATCAGACGGATCAGGAAGGAGGTAGTTGAGTCATTTGGGCTCTCTTAGTTTAGGGGTCTGAAAGGGCTGCGTCCTGCGAGCTCAAACGCCGGGTGGGCACCTGGGTCCCCAGCAAAGAGGTAACAACATTCCTTATGAAGCCATGGGACTGAGGGGGCATTCATGGACCCCAGGAGAAACTGAGTTTGCTCACTGTGGCCAGCCCCACCAGCTCTAATGGCACAGGGCAGCAGAGGCCTGTGCCACATCTGTCTGCCCCCACCCTGGGGCCCAGCTGCCCACCTACCCCATGGGCCAGTTGGTAGGTCTGGTTGAACTTCCACATCTCTTCTAGTACCATGGTCACGGCCTCTGCGCTGGGCAGCTCACCATGGAACTCGATGCCCATCAGGTTGGCCATCCGGTGCAGCAGCCCCGGCACCTGCTGCAGCTGCTGGCGCGCGTGCTCCACACGACATGTCCAGGCGTGGTCAATGAGGAAGATGCTGCAGGATCAGGCCAACCGCACATGAGATGCCAGGCAGGCACGGTATGAAGGGAGAGGGAGAGAAGAGGACCAGGGGAAGAGCAAGAGGCCCAGGGTTGTGGCTGGGACCTGGCATCCCACCTGTGAGAGTTGGCCTCCCCAGACCATGGTCATGCCCAGTTTTGGAGTCCTCTGGGCCTCTGGCAGACCTGGCTCTGCTGCCCACTCACTGTGTGCCCCGAGCAAGTTCTTCTTCCTCCTCAAGCTTCTCCAACAGGGCAGCAGGGGCCACCAAGTTGCTCCAAGCACTAAGTGAGACCTCCTGTCCGCTAAGTGCTTGTAACCAACATCAGCAATCCCTAGCGTCAAGCATCCTCAACTAGACTTGGCGCCACTGGGGACAGAACATGCTGCCCATCTGCTCCCTGTGGGCCTGGCACATGGCAGATGCTTGGTGAAAGCACAGGCTCCACACCGGGAGGCCAGTGGCAGGCAGACGTGCACCAGGGTGGCTATATAGAGCTCGTTCACCCACAGCTGGACTTCTGGATGCATGGAGGCCTTTCTGTGGGAGAGGCTTCAAGCCCCCACACATGTGGACAACCGCAGCCTGCACGTACTTGTTTCCTTGGAAGAGCCTGGGTGGGCCATCTGCACAGCTCCCACAAAACCAGGACAGGCTGAGGCAGAGAACAAGGTGCTCCTGATATAGTTCTGAGGTCATATCAACCACCCCTGCCCTAGAGGGCACAGGGCCCACCAGGGATGCTTCCTAAGCCTGTGGTATTAGGAGGCTCCAGAAACACAGGAGCCTGAGGGGCAAAGCAGCTCCTGCCTGGCCCCAAGACTCCACTCCACTTTTAAAATCTAAGGAACAGCAAATGACCCAGTTCTCAGGCTGGGTGTTATTGTGTTTATATCAGTATATCATAAAATAAAGATTTACTCCTGCTCTCATGCTTAGAGTGGATGATCGCATGCTACTGCAGGGCCAGGCCTCCAGAGTCAGCACTTGGGGTGACCTGGGCAAATGCAACGAAGGAAGCCATACATGGGCAGGTGCTGGGGAGAGGAAAGAGGAGCCTTTTGGAGGCTGGCAATCAGTGAAGACTCAGAAAGGCCCAGGAACAGGCCGGGTTCCAAACCCAAGATTCCAGATTCCCAGTCCTTCTCAACCTAGGCTGGTGACAGCGTGTGTTTGTAGGCCTGAGACCCAGGCTCCTGGGGTAGCCGCTGTGTCTGAGTTACCTATCTCTGGGCCTGAGTGGCACAGGGCAGGGACAGATCAGTGCAAAGGAAGGATTGCTGTGCGAAACTTAAGGGGAAAGGCGAGCCTGGGATGAGCACCTACTCATGGCTAGAAAAGCTCTGCAAAAAAGACCAGATCCCTGCCTGACAAGCCCAGTGATTCTCAGAGGCAAGCAAGTTTCTTCCTCAAGGTTCCAACAAGCCTTTGGCAGAGGGGCCTGCAGGTCTGTCCTGTCTGGGGTTCAGGCCCAGTTCTGCTCTGGGTCTCAGGTCCTCATGCTTCCTGGGCCCACCTCAGATGACAATTCAGCAGGACCGGGAAGGGGCTCCAGAGTAAGCCAGACCTGTATCCCTAACCAGTGGGTGGCCTCGAGCAAACCCTTCCCATCTGTTTCTTGCCAGCAAAATTGGAACTCATATCATCCTGTAGCAGGACCATCGTGATGGTGAGACTACCAGGAGGTATTCAACCTAGTTACCACGAGACTGCTGTGTTGACACGGACACTACTCTGAAGCCCTGCAGGGAACATAGCTGGCTACACATCACACCACAAGGCGGTCCTCAGAAAGTCTATGATGCTAAAGGAAGCTCGGAATGTCTGCAGTTATTGCCATCCTCTCAACAGTGACAGTCTTGGTAGAATCTCTTTGAAAGGAAGCTAGGCCCCTGAAAGAAGCAGTTGTGCCCATCCCAGCTCCTACGTGTCTCCTACCTGTTGGGGTCAGCTGCCCGGAGCCCACTCTCGCTGGTCACGATGACCTTGTAGCACAGCTCACTCCCCGGATTGGGCTGCTTTTTCTGCACCTCCCGAGTGGCCTCATCCTCTTCCTCTTCCACCTCCTCCACTTGCATGATCCCAAACATTTCCCCAGCATCAAAAACCTGGGAGCCAAAGCACGGGTCAGCAGGGGATGTGGGGAAATCTCAGCCCCAATCCTTTCACTTCAGCCAGGCCTTCTGCTCTGGCCACCGGGGGTGCTGTGCCGGGGCCTCAAGGACAAACTTGAGTTCTTCAGAGAAGCAGGACCTGTTTATTACAGCCTACCCACACCATCTTACAGGAGGGGAAACCGAGACTCCTGGAGACATCACAGAATGGGGATCTAATTTATCTCACTAGATATCACGTGTGGAGACGGGACTGCAGCCATGCCGGAGATCTTCCAGTCCAGCCCCCTCTCTCAACAGGGAAAAGGAGGCCCCAAAGGTAGAGGGGGTGGCATTTGTCACAGTGGAGGTCAACGGAAGAGTTGGGATCTTGATAGCCAGGGAGTGCACGCCAATTTCCCTCTTACTAGAAGAACACATCCAACACTAGGGCCGCTGAGGCAACCCACAAGGAAGCCTCTTCCAGCCCCCTAACAGCTCAGGTCAGCAGGAAGCAGGGCTGGAGCACCTGGGGCTATTTTGAGGCTCTGTCAAGGTGGGATGGGAAGATAAGGGCTGGGATCCTGGAGGTTTCCTTTCTTGGTCTTATATGCCTTGGAGCCAGAGGTGTCTCAGGCCCAACCATACGCATGCACTGTCTCTATCACAAGCCAGCAAGGGGGACTCCCACAGATTCTGGAGCCAGGCTGTGTGTGTTCAAATCTTGGCTTCACCACTTCCTAAATTTGTGACCTTGAACAAGTCACACAACCACTCTGCCTGTTTCCTCATCCTTACAATGGGCATAAGAGAACCAACCACGCTCGGCTAATTTTTTTGATTTGTTGTAGAGACAAGGTCTCACCAAGTTGCCTGGGCTGGTCTCAAACCAGCGGGCTCAGGCAATCCACTCGCCTCGGCCTCCCAAAGTGCTGGGATTACAGGCT